GCCCCTAGGACTAACTTTTTAAAATGTTCTTAGGGTTCTGTTTTTATGCTAATGTGTGAGAGACACTGACTTAAAGTAGAAACCAAAATGTGACCTTGGGTGGTTTCACTGTAGATATAAAGTGAAGTAAATATTAAGGTAATTTAGGAAGTCCAGTCAAATCCCATAATGGTCTGTAAGGTAATCTAAGACTGCTGATGTGCTTGACAAAGCGTTAAATACTCTTTTTTCCTGCCTTGAAGTTATTTTTTCCATCATGTACATTAAATGTTGATGGAAACACATATATGGAGTTCCAAGTTCAAGAGCAATGTCAACCCAGTCCCAGATGCACTTCAGTGGGGTTTCCTCATATCCAGCAAACATGGCCGGGTTTGCTAAGAGTCCTCTTGCAACCATCACACCTATAAATTAAAGCATATTACATTTGTCCACACATTAAGAACTCATAGGTATTAGGTCAAACTTAATGAAACAAACTGAGAATACTGAAAAATAAAGTATTACAAGGTTTCATAATAATCATGTATTAGTCTAAATTACAAACCAATTTGATTTGTTTATAAACCCAACAATGTTTCAATGTACTTACAAGAATTTAAAAAATGTTTTTAAGACTTCTACATTAAACAATTAGTCTCTAGGGATTTTCTTAGGGTTAATCCAGATTGTCATAAATTGGGTTTGCTTAAGTTTATTTGCATTCTCCCATTTAGCAACACTTATCACAGGCCTTGGTGTGCCAATAATTTAAGGGAGTAACAAAACTGTTTAGCAGTATGTAGTTCCTTTGGCTCTATGACCACTCTGTGTTCACTAATTTCTATTTTATGAAAAGGCTACCTATTTTACTAATAGCCTTCTAACTGGCCACTCATTGGATATGATGGTGGCAGAAAAGTAACTGATTTAATTTGCCCCAATTAAAACAATCTTCTGCCTCTGAGTATAAGAGTTAATATAATTTTAATAAACTGTTTAGCTTAAATCAGTACAACAGGAAAATATGGCTCCACTTTGAAGACTAATAATGAAAAATCACATTAACCTTACTCTCCTACCCCCACATTTTTTTTCTGTTAATTAAAAGTAAAAAAACCTCAAGTACTTATTTCTTACCATCTGTCCCAGTAATATGCCACACATTTTCTGCTTCTTTTAAGTTTCTGATGTCTCCGTTAGCAATTACAGGTATAGACATGTTTTCCTTAATTATTTTAATAGCCTCATAGTGAACTGGCTGATGTCTTTCTTCAACAGTTCTTCCATGGACCGTAATCCAAGAAACTCCTGTTGCCTCAGCCTTTCGACAAAGATCTACAGTTCTTGTAAGGTCATCATGAATCCTGCAATTTCAAAATTACATCAGTCTACTTACAGCATACAAATCTTAATGCTAAAATTAATAAGCTAAATAAAATAATATTTCATCTGATACATTATTCAGTTAGCTTTGCTATATTATCACCACATGCTACTATCAGAAAGGTTTTGTTCAGAGATCAGTTTCCATCTAAGACTTCAAATTTAGCTATTTCACTATTGGCAACAATAGGATGACAAATTTTACCTTACCTAGTGCTTCACCCTTTTGGTTTTGATAACTGAAAAAGTCGTCCAAGAATACTTGGATGGAATGGAGGAATGGAAAGACAGTATCCTAATATCTTTTGTGTATGCCCCAATCTGCGAGTGGGAGAATATAATACATTATCATGAAATATGTTTTTAGCCTGTCACCCAAAAACCTATTTCTGGTTTATTCCCTTTTCATTGTGGAATATTAGTGCAAACATTATTACTATTTTCTACTCTTGGTACCAGGAATGTTTCTCAGCATCATCATTATTGTTTGTTTGTTTTTTTAAACTAGAATCCAGGCTCAGTGTGGAGCCCAAAGCAGGACTTGAACTCACGACTCCTGAGATCAAGACCTGAGCTGGGATTAAGAGTTGGATGCTTAAAATTGAGCCACCCAGGTGCCCCTCTCAGCATTATCAATTAAGCAGTACATGGGAAAAAAACAGAGGGTTTCTTTTCAGAGGAAGTTTTTAAAAATAAAGGGATGTTTTAATTTCTGTTAAAAAAACCCAATAATGAAGTTCTGTTATTTTTATAAATAAAAATTATGTCACATAGTAATTTACTAAATGTCTTACTTCAACATTTCCATACACTAGCTACCAATTTATTAAGGATGGATACATCCACACTCTTAGACAAAAGGAATTTTTTTATTTCCTAAGTAATAGACTATCTTGTCAGTAGATTAAAATATTGTCTTTACCTTATTTTAATAGATACTGAAAATCTGGGATTTTCCACTTGATTTCTTACTTGCTTCACCATAT